GCGCCACTCGGCCGGCCCTAAGAATTATTAACTCTTAATCATTAATACAATCCTACCAGTGAAGGCTGTTTTCACCTCCATTTAGATGCAAGAAAACGGAGGCACACAGAGAGGAAGGGAAGCGTCCTAGGTCCCACAGCTGTAAGGATTGGAGCACAGGCAGTGTGGTTCCAGCACCTTCTAGTTTGCATCATGTCATTGCTGTGTGTTGGTATTGTGGGAAAGGTCTGGAGGGCAGGCCTGAGATGGCTTGGAATGGTCTTATTTACCATATGACCCAGCAATCCTTCTCCTGGGTATCTACCCCTAAAATTTGAACACATTTATCCGTAAAGATATATGTGCTCTGGTGTTCATTGCAGCTTTTTTTACGGTGGCCAAGACATGGAAACAACCAAAGTGTTCTTTGATTGATGGATAAAGAAGATGTGGTACATATACACAATGGAATACTACTTTGCCATAAGAAAAGGTGAAATACTGCCATTTGTGACAACATGGATGGATCTTGAGATTATCACGCTAAGCAAAATAAGTCAGACAGTAAAAGTAGAAAACCATATGACTTCACTCATATGTGGAATATGAAACTGAAAGCGACAAAGGAACAAGACAAACAAACAAAAACTCATAGACACCGACAATTGTTTAGTGGTTACCAGAGGGTAAGGGGGAAAGGGGGCGGTAGATGAGGGTAAAGGGGATCAAATATATGGTGATGGAAGGAGAACTGACTCTGGATAGTGAGCGCACAATCTGATATATAAATGATGTATTACAGAATTGCACACCTGAAATCATTGTCACCCCAATAAACTTTAATTTAAAAAAAACCCCAACAACAGCCGTTTGCTTGTCACTTGGGGTTGACAAGTTTTTCTTTAGGGACAAATTGCCAGATTAGAGAGGAAGATTGTTATTGTCATTCACTCCTAGTGCAAATTTCTAAAATTTCATAAGGACATGATTGCATATAGATGGTTGCATAATGTGGAACTACCTCTC